TGATGACAATTCTTCTTGTGTGGGTTGCAATGGTGCCCAATGTCAGTTGTTTTGGGGGTTTGTGGTGGTGCACTAAACAGTGACCAATTCAGCCGAAGGCTGTTAGACTTGAGCTTTTGTTATGCCAAGACTGAAGTTGAGGCATAAGGAGAGCTCAGCCACAGACCAAGGGTTTCTACTGAGCAATGGCTGCAGTAACCTTCATAAATGACAAAAGATTTGGTCAATGCCAGTAAGAGTGGTCCTGGTTAGGGACACTGAGGGCAAAGTTCTGAGTGAGAATGCTGCATATGATTGAGCAGCTCAAGTCTGGGGTTCCAGGACTTGAGCAAGCAAGCTAAATACTACAAGGAGATGGACCATGAGGCATCCACATGTAATAAGGTGACTACACTATTGGTTGAACAATAGTGACACATGTCCTAAGCATGTAACAAGAGGGAAACACTGGTGGTGGAAATAGTGAGCTGTCAGATCAGAGAGAAGATGGCTTGAAAAAGAAAAGTAGTCCAACAGATCAAACACATGGTAAGCATACAGTGACAAGGGAAAAAGCAAGGTGAAATGTAACACCTCACAGTCTTGTCAACAGAGCCAGAGACAATCCTTGTAACAGTTCATGATTGTAAACCTCCAATAATGTGTTTTCCTTTTCTTTCTCTTTCTTTATGTCTCCCTCTTTTAGCTACTTGTTTGTCTCCCACCACACTCTGGGCATATATAAACCATAGATACTGATGTACACTCCCCCAGTCTACCTCAAACAGAGACTTTCAGCCAGTTCTTCCTGAGTGACTGTAAGACTTACTCCAATGAGAACAGACTACCCCCATGTGACTTAAATGAAGTCACTTTTGTCACATATTTTGAACTGCCTCCAATCTCTCTTCTACTCTCCTAACCCACCTTTGATCTCAACATCACCTACTTGCTATTGGTCTGGCCAACTGGTGCATAGTAGCAACATCAAGCTTTTATGCTTATGTCTTCTCCTTTTGACCTGAAAGCAATAAACAAAGAAATCTGGTGCCATTTTCTGGGCCATCAAGCCAGAACAGGTTGGTTTGATCCAGTTTGGAGGGGTTGTGAGGGGGGTTGATTACAATTATCAGACCACACCCAATGATATGACCTCTCCACTAGCTCACAGGTCTGTGGAACCTGTTAGGACACTGGGTGATGCCCAAGGCCACATTGATGATGTGAGTGACATGCCAAGTAGAGCTGTCATGCAACCAGTCTGCTAACTCAGGAGCATGCTGCAAGGCTGTGCCTTAGACCCCCCAGCAGTGACTGGAGTGGATAGTGTGGCACATGCAGATAGCAATGAATTTGTTAAGCCACAATCACCTGCTTGTAGCAATGTTTTGCTAGTCCTGACTTCTGTCTTGTTAGACCAGAATAGATGGCCTGCCTGGATGCACAATGAACCCAAAGTGAAAACTAAGAATGAAAATAAACATAGACCTAAGGTTTTGTGGTCAGATCTCATCAAGAATGACAAAGAATTAAGGAAAGTCATACCACAGTGGTTTGGGAATCCAGCAGTCACAGATGAGAATGACAAGCCTGGAATTATGAACCATGGTCAATCCATTTCAGACACAAGTGTACTGAGACTTACTGCAGAAGTAAAGGAGAAGTGGAAAGTGCCCACTCCTTGAAAGTCTGTGATAGAACACCCTGTAGAAGTCAACACCTTGGATTCTGTCTTGGAACAAGAGGAACAAATGAAAACAACCAAGTACATGATCAACAAACTAAAGGAAGCCAGCCTGGTTGAGTGGATTGACAGTGCCAAGGCATTGATCCATGAACAACAAGCAATCATTGACTCATTCAATTGTCATAATAAGTATGAGTCCATGAACCTGGGACAATCAGGACTCAGGCTGAACAGAAAGAAAGTATGGCCCAAGTAGGCAACAGCCTTGGAAGGGTCGAAATAAGTAATACCCATGCAATAAGGAACTACAACTCTGAGCATTAAACCCATGAAACAATCAGGATCACCAGCAGCTGTAAATGCCAAAAAGACTCACTGAGAGGGCAAAGTGCCCTTGAATAAAGTATCTCCCCTCACTTGAGCATATTCCATATTCCTGCATGAAAGTACCATACTACATGTGATGCATGGAGACCCTGGTGACAATAACAACTCTTCAAGCTTGGAAAGTACTGCTATAGTGCAAAAGAACAATCTTGGAAACAATCATCAGCAAGCAATCGCCCCAAGCAACCCATCAGACTTGTCTTCAACAGATGACAGTGACTCTTCATCTGAGGAAGGTTCTTCATTCAGCTCAGACTTTTTCAAAGAAGAACCTTCCACTACCTGTACCAATGACTTGGAGCATGAGAAGGCTTGAAAGTGCAAGAAGAAATGTCATTACCATGCTAAAGTGAATAAATTAAAGCATCAACAAGCCTTCCTAAAGGAAGACCCACCATTTACTTACCATGGAGAAATACAAGTTGGATTATTTAAAAAGTGGTGTCAGGAGCTGCACAACTGGGTAAAGCATGCTAGACTGGACTGCAAAAAAAGTATCAGGCTAGCAGGAAAATATCTCAGTGGTTGTGCATCCTGATTTTACAAGCAAAATGTGCTCAACTTGAAAAAGCAATACACCCTAACTACATTCTTCAAGGATTTGTTTGACTACATATTCCCAGCAGATTTCCAGATGCAACAATGGGACAAATTTGATGCATGTCACTAAGAGGGGTGCTTGGTCCTCGATTCCTTGAGGAAGCTACAGGAAGTAGCTGACACTGTTGGTGATATTAATGATCAGGATGTTGTTCTTGCATTCTGGAGATGTTGTCAACCTTACCTGCATGCTGAACTCACCAAGAGCAGCTATGATGCTACCACCATCTCAATCATAACCCTTGAAACCAAATGTGTGAGGTACAAGAAAGCCAAATGTGTTATCAATGAGGATCACAGCTGCAAGCCTCAGCAATCACATGATCAAAGATACATGCACAGGCAGAGTACAAAATGTCTTAGCACAGCTGCTGTAAAGACTAACAGCACACTGGACACAGGAAACACTCCTAATAACAACAATAATAGTGTGTGATGGCCCTCAAAGGACCAGAATCACCATTGTCAAAAAGATCAGAATGTTGATAAAGAGTGGAAGAAGCACCTTCATGCAGAAGGCAAGTGTTTCAATTGTGAAGGCACAGACCACCTGGAATGGAACTGCCCCAAGTACTGGCAGACCCAGGACAAGTGGAAGGGACTGCATGTCCATCTTAATACCATTGACATGTCCCCTGCCAAGGCTCAACTCACAGCCATTGAAGAAGGGACTGAGCTCAGAATTTTCACACTAGGATTCATACACTTGGAGACACCTGAACTCCTGCAGTCAAAATGAGATCCTTAAGGCACATGCAGTATCTTTGCTACACACCACTGTACCCTTGACTCTTGACCAGGATATTGATCCAAACAATTTCCCATACCAGTGAGATTGATTCACTATCAAGGACCATGGTGGCCCAGACACATACCTACTGATGGATCACTACACCCTTGACAACCATATCTTATACTTCAAGGATCTCATAAACCCAGAATTTGACATTGTACATTGGCTCCACCTGAAGAAAACTGAGTACTATGATGAATTAATCTTTGACAAACACAAGATGAGATGGCATGGGCCCCCTCCTGTAATTCCAGATTGCCTAAAGTCCACATCAGATGGCACTGAAGCCTTGACTTGTAGGGCAGTATGAACAAGCTCCCCTGATGGGGATTGCACTGATGGAACCAACACACTTGAATGCAGTGCTACATGCATCAAAGGAGCCACACATCTCCTCCTGAAACCAATTATTGTCATAGTCCACATTAATGACAAGCCATGTTGAGCACTGCTTGACTCAGGATCATCTTCTGACTTTGTCTCTACCATGCTTGTAGACCAACTACAACTTCCTCTTGATCTACTTGAAAAACCCTTGAACCTCCAGCTTGCACTCTCAGGATCACATGGAAAGGTCAAAGCAACCACAACACCCTGGATCTCATACCAGGATATTCATGAGAAGCATGTACTGGATGTTGCAAACCTCAACTCATATGACCTACTCTTAGGTATGCCATTCCTATTTCAACACCAAGTGTTACTTGGGTTTAACCTGTCTCAGATCACTGTTTGCAGCAATAACTCACTGCCAATCTGAGGACCACAAACAATTGCACTCGAGTCACATGCAGCTGAGCTGCTGGCAGATGAAAAGGAACTAAGAGTGTATGTGAGGGATATATGCAAAGAAGCCATCAAAACCCCCCTTCCCCCTCTCCATGATATTAACCATGTTATTCCATTGATTGACAAAAATAAACTATATTCATGGCAACCATCTCATTGCCCTGAACCTCTTAAGCCCCTTTGGTGCTCAAAGCATGATGATTATATTTGAACCAGACATTGGGAGTTCAGCAGTGGTACAAATGCAATCCCAATGCTAATGCTTAAAAATGCCACAAAGGATGGATCACTAAGACTATGAACAGTAATTGATACAATGGAATGAAACACCAACACAAGGAAGCTTGCATCTCCACTGCCAGACATGGAGGCAATCCTCTGTAACATAGTGTCACATCCATACAGATCTTTACTTGATGGCAAGGATGCCTATGAGCAGATCCATATTACTCCAGGAGCCCATGTACCTAGTTAGGCCATGTGACATGGCCAGCAGAGGTTGACAATTGGCCATGTCACATGGGCCAGCCAAGGTCAAGCCAACCTACAAGTTGTCAGCATAATGTAGGGATCAGCTGTAACTATGTTGTCATGTGTCATTCAAGATCAGCTACAATTGTATTGTCATGCATGATAGACAAATCAGCTGCAATTATATTTTTAGGTGTCACATGGAGAGGCTTCAAATAGAATATCACCATGTGATAGGGACATATATGGCATAGCCCAGGTCAGATTGGCATCCTGTACATAGTGCAGCCCAACATGACTATGCAGTATGTCCAGTTCCAGAGTAAGCTGTGACAGACACTCTGGAGCAAATTCCAGAGCAAACTGCAGCACATATGCCAGAGCATACCATAGCATTTCAGAGCACTCTGGAGCATGCCATGGCCCTCCAGGGTAAGTGTCAGCATATGTTCTGAAGCAAACTGTGGCATGCCAGCCACTCCAGAGCAAATTCTGGAGTAAACTGTGGCACATGTGCTGGAGCATGCCATGGCATTCCAGAGCACTCTGGAGCAAGCAATGGCACTCTGGGGTAAGCTGTGGCATATGTTCTGAACCAAAGTGTGGCATGCCAGCCACTCCAGAGCAAATTCCAGAGTAAACTGTGGCACATGTGCCAGAGCATGCCATGGCCCTCTGGGATAAGCTGCAGCATGCCAGCCACTCTGGCAAAAATTCCAGAGCACACTGCAGCACATGTGCCAGAGCACTCCAGAGCAGGCCATGGCCCTCCAGGGTGAGCTGCAGCATATGTTCCAAAGCAAACTGTGGCATGCCAGCCACTCCAGAGAAAATGCTGGAGCAAACTGTGGCACATGTTCCAGAGCATGCCATGGTCCTCCAGGATAAGCTGTGGCATGCCAGCCACTCCAGAGCAAATTCCACAGCACACTGTGGCACATGTGCTGGAGAATACCATCACATTCCAGAGCACTCTGGAGCAGGCCATGGCACTCTGGGGTAAGCTTTGGCATATGTTCTGAACCAAAGTGTGGCATGGCAGACACTCTGGAGCAAATTCAAGAGCAAACTGTGGCACATGTGCCAGAGAATACCATAGCATTCCAGAGTACTCTGGAGCAGGCCATGGCCCTCTGGAGTAAACTGCAGCATATGTTTGGGAGCATTCTGTACCATGCTGACACTCCAGAGCAAACTGCACCACATTTGCCAGAGCATGCTGCACTGCCCACAGTTTGATTACCAGTGTGCACCCTTTTTATTACCAAAAGTGTAGCAGGGTCCACTAGTTGATTACCAACAATTTATTAGTGTCTGCTATTTTACTAGTATTGCAGTATGCTGTTAGTGGTGTCTACATGTTTCATTACCACAACTGTAGTAGTGTCTGCACTTTTGATCACAAGTGTAGCAGGGTCTACTAGTTGATTACCAACATTTTGGTAGTGCACCATGCCACTAGCATTGTTTCCTATATCATTCAGTGCCTGCAGTTTCATTACCAAGTGTCTGTCCTGTTCTGCCATTCTGCAGACAACCTGTAGTATTTCAGAGTACTTTATGGCTATGCAGCACTGTGAATGGCACTCAGAGCTGACAGTAGAGCTTGGCATGGTGTAGCATGGCTTGGCACTGTCAAGACCTGGCTGATGTATAGGGGTCACTGCTGAAGGATGGCTGATGGAGGCCAATGAGATAGGGGCTGTGCCAAGGCTGGCTAATGTATAGGGGTCACTGCCAAAGGGTGGCCAATGTAGGTTAGTGCTGCAGTTTACTCCAGAGTGCTCCAAAATGCTATGGGTATGCTCTGGCATATGTGCCACAGTTTGTTCCAGAATTTGCTCCAGAGTTTCTGCCATGCCACAGTTTGGTTTGGAACATAATATGCAGCTTATTCAAGAGGGTCATGGCCTGCTCTGGAGTGGTCTGGAATGCTATGGTATGCTCTGGCACATGTGCTGCAGTGTGCTCTGGAGGGCCATGGCATGCTCTGGCACATGTGCTGCAGTTTACTCTGGAATTTTCTCTGGAGTGGCTGACATGCTGCAGCTTATCCCAGAGGGCCATGGCATGCTCTGGCACATGTGCCTCAGTTTACTCCAAAATTTGCTCTGGAGTGGCCAGCATGCTGCAGTTTGCTTTGGAACATATGCTGAAGCTTACCCCAGAGGGCCATGGCCTGCTCTGGAATGCTATGGTATGCTCTGGCACATGTGCTGCAGTGTGCTCTGGAATGGCTGGCATGCCACAGCTTACCCCAGAGGACAATGGCACGCTCTGGCATTTTCTCTGGAGTGGCTGGCTTGCCACAGTTCACTTTGGAACATATGCCACAGCTGACCCCAGAGGGCCATGGTATGCTCTGGAGTGCTCTGAAATGCTATGGTATTCTCCAGCACATGTGCCACAGTTTACTCCAGAATTTTCTCTGGAGTGGCTGGCTTGCTGCAGTTTGCTTCAGAACATATGCTGCAGCTTACCCTGGAAGGCCATGGCATGCTCCAGCACATGTGCCACAGTTTGCTCCAGCATTTGCTTTGGAGTGGCTGGCATGCCACAGTTCACTTTGGAATTCTGCATATTCACAGACCATAAGGGGCTTGAATGGATCCAGACACAGTGAAAGCTGTCCCTGCAGCAAGCCAGGTAGCTTGAAATGTTGGGAGATTTTGATTTTGAGATCATACATATATCAGGCAAGACAAATCTCATTGCCAATGCATTGAGCTGTATATACTCAGATGAACCTAAGGGGACAGTATGATCAGCTTCAGAATATGTCAGTGCTGAGGAAGATCATGCACCTTCAAAGTTGCTACTGAACTTAATTACCACCCCACTGTACATGGGCTCACCCATCTTCCTGGGAGCAATGAGGCATCAGTCTAGTGCATGGGAAGCATTCCCTAATGTGAAGCGAGTGATCCTAAAGTTACCTGGTGACCCAACATGATCACTGGAGGGCAGGAGTACACCTAAGCCTGACACATCACCTGATGTGTCAACAGTACCTGAGACACCTGCTGAAACAAAAATACCTATGACATGTGTTGACAACAGCCCAGATGATAACATCATAGCTGACACACCCAGCAAACAGGAACCAACCTCATTGCCTGATCTAGTCACCATGGCAGAGCCAGGCTCAGACATATGCGAGGACATATGCCATCAATACCATAGGGACAAATTCATTGTTGACATTGTTAAAAACCCTAAGAACTACAAAAGTTTTGAAGTAGACAATGGTCTGATTTACCTGAAGGACAAAGGACAGCAAATTCTTTGTATTCCTGACATAAACTCAGGTTCCTGCCACTTATGCAAGATCTTGATCTCACATGCACATTCAATATTAGCACACATAGGCCCCAGGAAAACTACCAACTACCTACAAGACAATGTATGGTGGAAGGGGATCAATTCAGATGTAGATGAATTCTGCAGATCCTGTACACTATATCAGACCTCTAAGCCGAGTAATCATCCCAGCTATGGACTATTGGAAACACTTGATGTCCTAAGATACCCCTGGGAAACCATTGGAATTGACTTCATCAGCCCCTTACCAGAATCATGTACACTTAATGGAACCTTCAACATGACACTTGTCATAATCAATTACCTAACTGTCATGGTACACCTTGTCCCTATGAAACAGACTTACCATGCCAAAGACATCACTGAGGTAATGTTTGATAGAGTATACAAGCATCATGGAATGCTGCAGAATATACTCAGTGACCAGATCACAGATCACCATGGAAAGGGGAGAGATGCCCTCTTTCAGGTGGAATACTCAAGTGGTGACAAGGTTTGGCTCCCATTTTATGAGGTCTCACACCTTGAAGCATTTACCCAATACCTAGAAGTGCTGAACATACCTAGCACTGATAGCCTTGCACCCAGGAACTGTTACATTTCACTTCTGTTTTCTCTTGTTTCAATGTACATTTACCATGTGTTTGATCCATTGGGCTACTTTTCCTTTTAGAGCTGTCTTCTCCTTGATCCAACAGCTCATTATTTCCACCACTGGCATTTCCCTCTCACTACATGCTTAGGACATGTGCCACTATTGTTCAACCAATAGTGTAGTTACCTTGTTACATGCAGATGCCTCATGGTCTGTTCCTTTGTTAGTATTTAGCCTGCCAGGTCAAGTCCTGGAACCCCAGACTTGAGCTGCTCAATCATATGCAGTGTTCTCAGAACTTTGCCCTCAGTGTCCCTTACCTGGACCACTCTTGCTGGCATTGACCAAATCCTCTGTCATTTACAGAGGTTACTGCAGCCATTGCTCAGTAGAAACCCATAGTCTGCATTTGAGCTCTTCCTATGTCTTGACTTCAGTTGAGCATAACAAAAACTCAAGTCTGACAGCCTTTGGCTGAATCAGTCACTGTTTAGTGCACCACCACAAACCCCTGAAACAACTGATGTTGGGCACTGTTGTGACACACATGAGAAGAATCATCATCTAAAAAAGAACAGGAGAGCACTGTCACTGACACCTCCTCCAACAAACCCAAACAACTGGATAGAGGATTTACTTCTGGTATCCTCTTGAATCTCTTCAATCAATCTCTTGCTATGCTTGGTACTCCCATCCCACCAGTACCTTCCCCTGCCACATTCCCTAGACCCCTGACTCCACCCATGATGTCTGGTTCATCATTGAAGGCAATGACTGGAACTACCACTGTCAAAGCCACCAAATTGAAGATTGGTGCCCCATCTGATTTTGACAGAGACCAAAAGAATGCCATGAATTGGCTGTATTCAGTCCAAATGTACCTCATGGTAAATGAAGAAGTCTATGACACTGACACCAAAAGGCTTGTCTATGCATTGTTGTATATGAAGAAAGGGGTTGCTCACTCTTGGGCAGCAACCTTCCAGAAAACATCTCTGGAAAAGAACCCTCCAAGTTTTGGCTCCTTTGCCAACTTCAAGAAAGAGTTTAAAGACTCATACACCTCCCCCAACACTGCTGGTACTGCTATCACAAAGCTACATACCATGAAACAGAAAGACTTGGTGGAACAATACATCACCAACTTCCAAACTGCCACCACCAACTCAACCATCATCGAAGGCATTGCTTTGATCAAGTTCTTCTCACAAGGACTCAAACCTTTCATCACAAACCATATCCACATGATGGAGACCACCCCCACTGAGATCATGGAGTGGTACACTCAAGCACAAAAGTTTGATTCCAAGTGGAGGAAGGTGAATGAATTGTCTGGAAAGAAAGAAAAGAGAGCATTCCACCCTAAGAACAATCTCTCTGAAGAAAAAGATCCAAATGCTATGGACATGGATGGAGTAAGACTCTCCAAGGAAGAAAGAGACTGTCACATCAAGGAAGGAAGATGTTTTGGTTGTGGAAACAAAGGACATCTCTCTTGAGAATGTCCCAACCAAGGGAAGACCCCCCAGAAGAAGGTCAAGAAAATCCAAAAGATTGTAGAGGAAGAAGAAAGCGATGATGAAGAAAAAGTCACTGGTCCTTCCATCACCTTGGTTGATATTGCTGGAGCATTGAGAAAGGATTTTTAGAAGGGAACTCTGTGTTGATGCCAGATGTTCCCAATACTAAGGACAGTTCTTGGATGATCATACCCTCATTGGGAGCAAAGATGACAGTTTATACAACAATGACTTTGACTTTGATGACTCTGCCATTGGTAACATGACTGGAGAACCTTACAGAGAGTAGTTGAAGTTGGGGACTTCAACACTTAGAAGGGGGGTAATGTTACATTTCACTTCTGTTTTCTCTTGTTTCACTGTACATTTACCTTGTGTTGGATCCATTGGACTACTTTTCCTTTTAGAGCCATCTTCTCCTTGATCTGACAGCTCACTATTTCCACCACTAGCATTTCCCTCTCACTACATGCTTAGGACATGTGCTGCTATTGTTCAACCAATAGCATAGTTACCTTGTTACATGCAGACACCTCATGGTCCATTCCTTTGTTAGTATTTAGCCTGCCAGCTCAAGTCCTGGAACCCCAGACTTGAGCTGCTCAATCATATGCAGCATTCTCAGAACTTCACCCTCAGTGTCCCTCACCTGTGTTGATGCAGATTAATTATATTTCTTACACCAGTAATATCTTACATAAGCACAGTCATTTCAGCACATTGTTTTTCCTTCAGCACCTCAGTCTTCTCCCTTCTCCCAATAGACGCCTGAGTATCTTCTCTTGTTAGTCTGTCACTACTTG